GTGTGTGTGTGTGTGTGTGTGTGTGTGTGTGTGTGTGTGTGTGTGTGTGTGTGTGTGAGAGAGAGAGAGAGAGAGTTGTACCCCGGTTTGTGTGTGTGTCTGAGTTGGTGGGGGTGGGGGGGGCGCCCCATCCCCCACCAATCAATCAATCAATCAAAAAAACTGGAAAAAAAAATCTCTTCTGTTTTGAGTCCGCTTCTGTTTTTGTTTTTTTTAAGTAATTTAGATGCTCACAATTTTTTTTTAAAAAAATGGGGATGTAGAGAGCAAAAACATCTACACCCCCATATATATACATTGTTTTTTTACTGTTCTTTTGCCGCCGAAAAAAAATTTCGCGGGCTCAGTTGTACCCCGGTCTAACGGGGTACAACGGGGAGTTGCAACGCGGGTTCAATGGGAGTTGATCCGTTCAACTCAAAACCCCCGTTGAATCAACTTTCGGACACGTAGTGTATGCTTGTCGAATGTATGGACGTATGGATGTATGCCCGCTTGTCTATCTTTTTGCTGAGAATCCCAGCCCTTGCTTTATGTTTGTGTCGAATCTTTGCCTGCACCTGATGCCGCTGTAGAGGGGAGAAGAATCTGGCCCGGATAGCGATTTTGTTCTCGTTTTTGCTTGTCTCACGATGGGGTTGTGCTATGGTTGCATCCTACATAATCGAAACTTACGAAGCAATTAGACGATCCGAAGACTGGCCCTGCGAACGCCGCGTGAGAACGCGTGTAAACACGATCCGAGTCGCGCCCTTACACGCATCCCCGTGCGTCAATTCGCCCACCCAAAAAAGGATTCGCGGCGAAACTATCATCCCATATGAGCACGCTGAGGCGCAACTAAGTCCGCCTGTTCTGCACGTGCTCGTGCGCGGTGACGATAACCCGACCCGAGCTATCCCATCGACGATGATGCCATGACGCGATCTTGGAGCTCAGACTCATCCTACGACCCAGGGTATTTCACCCCTTAGATAAACGAACTTATAAGGCTGCGATACCCCTGCCACACGGAGAATCGACTATGTCTGCGGGAATTCCACTGCGCCACCTCTAGCGACCCTCGGTGCTCTGATTTTCCTTCCCCCGACTTTACCTACTACTTCACCCACCCGGGATTTGTTGAGATCACCACCAGTTTCCCTCCTTTCCGCCTTCTTCTCCCGTATCATCAACTCAGGGTCGTCCCGTGGCCGGCCATAGCCCCCTATTGGCCCGGTACGTTTTGCGTGAATTGCCGACGTCGCGGCGAACAGAGAACTCCGGAATTCCGAAGGCCCAATCCAAGCGCACGACGGCGTGCGCCACGTGGCGGCCCCCGACGGCCCAACTTTTCAGGACCGCCTCCACCGCGGAGGGATTTCCCTGTCAACCGTCGCCCATAGACTCCCCCACTTTCCCAAAAATCCTTGGCACACCCCTTTTCGCACTTCCAGGCCCATACCCCACTCCGATCAGGAAGTCGCGCTGGGCGTGAGGTTGGTATCGGAGCCCGACACGTGGCCAGGGTCTTCGGATTGATAGCACGCTAATTAGGCGACCTGGCTAACCGTGGGCGACCTCGCCCTCAGAATGCGCATAGACGTGACCCTATCATCACCCGAAGCAGATCGGTTAACCGACGAGCAGCCAATATGGCTGCCAATGTGCAAAACCAGGTTCCGCAACAAAATGCTAACCCACCAAATCAACCTGCCCCATATGCACGAGCTCTCATAACGCCACCTGATCTCTATTTGTTCGATCCCGCACACCATCTCGCGGGAGCATGGCTGGCCACACTTAGGGCCCAACAGTACACTGACAATGAAGCACAGATCATTATTCCGGCTCGAATGGGAGGAGACGCTCATCATTGGTTTAGTACCTATGTATGGGTGGATCTACCGACCTTCGAGCGGGACTTTATGAACCGATTCGATTATGTTCACCCTGAGCAAGCACTGTTCATGATCAAGGACCGAGTGCAAAAACCTCTCGAATCCGTTGCGGAATATCGAAACCGGTTCTACAGAATGTTCGTAAAAACTGAGCAAGGGGAGCAAGTAGGGAGATATCTGTTCATTGACGGACTCCGCAGCCAGACAATAAGGGCTAAGTTGCGTAAGCAATTTTCCCCCATCACTCATACGCTACAAAAGATTATGGCTGCTGCGGAAGAAATGGAAAGGAAGTTCGCGGCGAACTTCCTGGAGGGAGAAGACTACCCTAGGGACGGAGATTTGACCGAACTCGCACGAGCGAGAGCGGAGCTCGCTGCTTTGCTGAATAAATTTGAAAACATGGGGTTTGTATCAAGACCTGTCACCTATATGGAACAGATAGGCCCCAAACGAGTAGTCCTAAGCGAGACTCCGAGCATCTCTGCTCCTATGATGCCCCGGCCCGTCAGGGCGCTACCCCCACCACCAGTTGAGGCTCCCGCACGAACGAACGAATCGGCGGCCATTTTCGAACTAACCAAAACCTTGATAAGTTTGATCCAGGAAAGCAAAAAGGAGCAGCGAGAGCACAATGCTCGGTTGGAAGCCATGATAAGGAACATGCGGTCCATTGCGGTACGCGCCCCTTCGATGCAGCAAGGATTAGCCCCGCCACCTGCGCTCGGAGGAGTCGCAAATAATCTGAATGTATGTTATGCATGTCATCAGCCAGGACATCTAGCCCGCGATTGCCCCCACCGACCCCCACAACAGCGGATCGGGGTCGCACCTATCGCTGCGGCTCCCATCGCCAACGGACCTGGACGAGTCGGAGCTTTGATGGAAGAAGTAGAGGGTGGGGGAAGTGCCATGGCCACCACGGAAGAGGCCGCCGAGCTAATCCCGCTAGATTAGTACGTATCGCTGGGATATCCTGGGCTTGGAATGATTGGAACAATCAGACTCGCGTCAGAACCGAAAGAGGTGGCGGAGTGGCGACCGTCTCTAGGAGAAATGGAGTCGGGAGGACCCACCTTTGTCACAGGAGAGATCGATGTATTAAACATCATCCGAGCCTTGGACCATCGGATTCCCCTTCCGATCGGTCATCTACTCTCGATCTCCGAGCAAGCCAACGAGCGGATGCTAGTATACTACAGCATTGCAAGGCAAACCAAAAGCGATTCGCCCTTGCCCGAACACCAAATGCAAAACCCAAAGGCCCCGCGCTGGAAGAAAACCCCGCAAGCACTTCGGATCCGATACGGGTAGGTTTAATCCAGAAAGACGATCATTTCCTATGGATTAAACCAATTCCATGAAAATCCGTCGAGTGCGATATAGAAATTTGGGAATTTTTGGGAATTCCTTACAACGCAATTATAGACTCGGGAGCAACTGTGTTGGCTATTTCACCGAGAATGGTCGAAAGGGCAGGTAGGAAAAATGACCTCATCATGCTTTCTGAGAAAGATCAGCTCGTTTCGGCTGACGAAGAAAGGATTAAAACCGTGGGAAGAATGACCAATGTCGCTTTCCGATTGGGTAAAGTGCACGCGCTTGGGGATGTCGTAGTACTAGATGTCAATACGTACGACATTCTTTTCGGACTTCCCGCTCTTGTGGTGTTACGAGCAAACCTGGACTTCGAACGACGATCGATCGTCCTCCGAAATACCGGAGGAAAACCCTACACTGTGCCCATGCGATTGACCCTTCGCACTACTATTAACGCGGTTCCGCCGGTTTCACCGATGATGGCGGGGACTCTCCACATGATCTCCTGGGATGAATCCTCAGAGGGAAAATCGTTAAATGATGCGGACAGCAGTGACGAAGTTGATCCCGAGATCTTAAAATTAGCACGACAACGCGTTCACTACCCGCCGCCCAAAACGATAGCGAGAACGATGCAACTGACCAGCCAAAAAATTCAAAGAACCAAGGCAATGATCTTGGGTGAGCCCCTCGTGCAGATTTCGAGGATGGTCGATTCTTTGGAACCCCCTCAAACTCTGTACGAAGGAATCACCCCTCTCCTCGCCGGTATAGCGACAAGAAGCATTACTGTGACATTACGGATCTACCCCAGTCCTTGTTAACATCGGCTAAAGAAGTGAGGTTGTTACGCTTGGGGGCAGAAGCAAGCTCTCTGGAACCCCCTAGGCGTTTCGAAGCAGAAACAGATGGACTGGGGATAAAGATCGCAACCAAGGAAGTGCCATGGCGGGATGTTTGTGACGGGATTACCCCGGAAGGACACGTGGCCATCCGGGAAGAAGATGCCCAGATGATGGCCACGGTGTTCTCCTGGCGATCGGACCATTCATTCATCTCGCCGCCTCCACCCGACTTGGCAAAACAGGCGAGCACGAAACAGATTGACGTTCGGATCTGGGACCAACTTTTCGAACTGCACGTCCCACAGTACGTGCCGGATGAAATCCATCGTGTAATTGCGGATATTCTAACGGAATATCAAGGAGCAATTAGTGTGTCAGACACTGACATTGGGTTGTCGTTAGTAATCTAACATGAAATTCAGACAGGAAATCACTCCCCGATTCATTGCAAACCTTATCGGTATTCCTTGATTGAACGCAAAAAAGCTCTCTAACGAATTCGAGAGTTCGAAGCCAGCGGCTGGATTGAACCCGCTACCGGACCTTGGTCATTTCCCATTGTGTTAGTGCCAAAGAAAAACGGAGCGATTCACATTTGCATTGATTATCGCAAGCTGAATGAAATCACGATCAAAGATGTGTATCCCCTCCCCCGGATTGATGATTTATTGGATGCTATTGGATGCGCTAATTATTTCAGCAAGTTTGATATTCGGCATGGCTTCCATCATATCCTGGTAAGGGAAGAAGATCGGCCAAAGACGGTCTTTGTACTATTTCAGGGCACGTGGCAGTGGGTTCGGTGTCCGATGGGGACTTGCAATGGGCCTGCCACGTTTCAGCGAGCGATGAACATGACGTTCCAGAATTTCGTCAACAAGACACGGCTGACGCAAGAGATGATCAACTTTTGTGTGATCGTGTACACGGACGATATCCTGGTCTACTCGGAAACCTATCAGGGGTATGCGCAGCATATCGAATGGACATTGGGCGCGTTGCGAGACGCTGGGTTCAAGATTGCGCTCGAGAATAACGAATTTTTCCTCTCGGAAATTTCGTTCTTGGGCTACGTCGTGACAAGTGGAGGATTGCAGCCGGACTCGAGAAAAGTTGCGGCGGTGAAGGAAGCCCCGATTCCCACGTCACTGACACAGGTTCGAGCCTTCTTGGGGCTGGCGTCGTACTACCGGCGCTTCATCAAGGGTTTTGCCGCGATTGCACGACCACTAACGAATCTGCCAAGAAAGGACCAGCCTCTCAGCTGGGACGCGGAGTGCCAGCAGGCCTTTGCAACCCTCAAAGACGCTCTGGCGACGGCCTCTATTTTGATTCGGGAGAACCCCTCAAAGCAGTACATTCTCATCACAGACTGGCAACCGGAAGCTATTTCCGCTATTCTAGCGCAGAAGGGGAACGATGGTCGCGAACACGTCATCGAGTACGCGTCACGCACAGTGCCAGATGAACGCCGAAACGACTCTGCACCTCAAGGCGAGTGTTATGCGGTAGTCTGTGGAATCCAACACTTCCATCCGTATCTCTACGGACAAAAGTTTCGCCTCGTGGCAGATCACGATCCTCTGCTAGCATTGAAAAAGCTCACCGACTACACGGGCATGATTGGCCGTTGGGCGGTGCGACTGCAAGAGTACGACTTCGATATCGTCCATCGAAAGATAGAGCGACACGGCAACGCGGACGGATTGACACGTCTGCATCGACCTGCCAAGGTACCAAAGGGCAAGGAAATTACACCGTGGAAAGAGCCGAACTTGACCAACGAGCCGACATACGGACGAGTGGCGGTTCTTCCACGTGGCAAGAAGCAAAACGGTGGTGATGGGTGATGGAGGTAACCCCACTACCCCTCTCTCTCCCCCTTCCTCTTCGTCTCTCCTCTCCCTGCCTGACAAATTTTGCTATTTTTGCGAAGCTATCTCCCGCGTATATTCGGTCTCCATGCGCCCTAACGGGGAAGGGTATGCGGATTGGATAGATTGCCAACAGTGTGTCGCGCGAGCCCATGGCTCGTGCATCCAATACAGGAATGATAGAAAACCGTAGTTGTGCCCCTTGTGCCAGACCAACAAGATTCCAACCGAGGCTCGCTTCTTGGATGCCACGTCAGAAGGGTTGGAAAAGACCCGAAACTTTAAAAGGGCCGAAGTATGGACTGATATTGCCTTAATTGCCACCCTAGTAGGTAACCCCCTCCAGGATTTCACCAAGGAAGATCGGAGGAGGGCCAACGAAAGGGCTCGGGATTATCGGTGGATAGAAGGTAGATTAGAAAAACGGAAAATGGACGGCAGTGAGATTTGGATGGTGCCATGGTGGTACCGCATCCGTTCATGCGGTATAATTGGGTTAAGACAACCCACGAGGAAAATGCGGCCCATTTTGCCGTACGAATCACGGAGTCCGCCATCGACAAAAATAAGTGCTATTGGTCTAATATCCGCGACAATGTGAAATACATTATCGCCAACTATCAAGTTTGCGCCGCTGATAAAGCGCCGATTCAGCCACCGAGATCGATAGTGCCCACGGTTGTTGAACGGCCATTTCGAAGAGTGAGCATGGAAACTACCGATGTAGTGGTGCCCCCTGACCCTAATAGTTGCGAGTATTCAGTCTTATAGGTATTTGTCGACCATTTCTCGAAATGAATCGAAGCATATCCTTATCGCACGCGGCAAGCCACAGAGATCGCGCGATACGTCAACCGTTTCCACGGGATGCATCAGGATATAGAAGAGATCCTAACCGACAACGGGGCTGAATTCAAGGGAGAAGTGTTAAAGAATCTGGTCATACATGGCGTCGCCATACGGAACACTGCACCCCACATGTCACAATTTAATGGGCTGGTCGAGAACGCTAACCGGGTGATAAAGGCAGCATTGCGACGAAACATCGCGGCACGGGATCCGAGGCCCTGGCCCGATATCGTCGATCACATCCTGGCGGTCGATCGCGGAACGCCCCACGAATCGACGGGGTTAAGCCCCTTCCAATTAAGGACCAATAACATCGCTTGCGTTTCGATACCAAGCCTCCTAGATGAGTCTACATTGAACCGACGGCCCACCAGGGCCACGGCTAGGGACAAGGCCAAACGGCACCTAGAGCTAATGGAACGGTCACTGCCCAGGCTAGCCCGAAAACGACAGAAAATGACCGAACTAGCCCAAGGCCGACAGGTCCGGAGCTACGAGGCCCGAAATGGGAATGCGGGTCCGCGGCCCCAGTACAAATTGGGGGACGTGGTGCAGGTGAGGAAATGTGCTCGCCAGGGTAAGCTAGCGCCACGATTCTTCGGGCGATATCGCGTGATCGAGCTCGGCCCCAATGGCGTGGACACCGTGCGTCTCGCCCCTGAAGTCTCTGGCAGCCGATCGGCTCGCCCGATCACACGCCACGTATCCTATCTTCGCCTCCTCCCCTCTGCTCCGTCTCCTCCCGCGATCTTTCTTTCTGAGGAAGCCGACGACGACGGCTCTTACTCTCTGCCGTCTCCCTCTTCCTCTTGCTCCCTCTCTGCCTCCCCGTCACTGTCGCCATCGCCATGAGTTTTCTGGAGGAGAGGGTCCTCAGCGAAGCAGCGCTTGCGCCCCGTGATTGATTGACGATCCGACTGGTCTATCATCCCTACCGTAGTCCAGATCTTCGGCGGCTTGCACACTTCTTATGCACGGAAGGCGCGTACGCAGCACCGGTATTCAGAATCGAAGGTCGACCTGACGCGGTGGTACTGGCCGAAGCTGTAGCAGTCCACCAGCGAGCGGTGTCAGGGGTCAGCCGTATATCGGTCGTCATCGACTTCCGGGGCGATCTCTCCACGCTCCTTCCCCTACGGCATTCAGCAGTGAAGGCATCGTTGCGCGCGTGGGCAAACGACCTGGTCGCTGAGTGGACCCAGCTTTTGGCTCGTCTCGGAGATACAGTCGCAACAACATGAGCGATCGAATACGACGGCCTTCGAATGTATCAGCGCGAGCCGCCGACAGATCTCCCTATCCTCGTTCCCTTCCCACGTCCCCAATGAGTCTCTCCCCGATCTCCGTTTTTTATCTCCCCTCCACCTTCCCCACCTTCTGGCAGTCTGACATCCATCCTCGCCTTTCCTATTGTCTTAAGCCCCTTGCTGTCCCCCTTCTCCATCCTCCCCATTGGGTCTTGTGGCGCGAAGACTTCGTCGAGCTTTCACTGTGCTTGGTTGAGATACGGCTGACGTGGATCGAGGACGAAGCGCACCCGCCTTGCATAGAGCGCCTGGAGTTGCTGTTTATCCAGGCTTGGCGAACCAACGT